TTTGTGACTGGGATATTTCACTCAGCATAATGTTTTCCAGAGTCAACCATTTTGAATAATATTGCATGAGTTCCTTGTTTTTCAATGCAGCATAGTATCCCATTGTGTGAATATACCACAGCTTCTCTATCCATTCGTTTGTTGATAGGCACTTAGGTTATTTCCAACTCCTTGCTATTGTGAACAAAGCTGCTATAAACATGGGTGTGCAGTAGTTACAGTCTTTTAATAACAGTTCAAGCCAATGTTTTGAAGATTTTTTTTTAATCTAAGTGTTCGATAGAATAGAGGTGAGAGAAACCATACTGAAGAGTTTGAAGACTTTATGACTGCCTTAGGCATAAAATTTTATCACAAAAAATTGTAAACTTTGTATTCTATTTCATAAATCATGCATTTGGATTGGCAGGAAAATAGTAATTTACCACATAGTTTAATTAATGCTTGGGTCACACTTATCCTGCAGATTTGAACATTCTGAGCACACTCATTTTGACAAGCACAACAATTTAAGGGTGGCAAATATAGTTACTATCAGCAGGCTTCCATTTCTGATAGTAAGCATACCTTGATATTAGTTCCCTGCAATGATGAGCTTCCTTCCCTCACTGATTTCTTCTCTCCAGGAGAGAACATTCTACACTGTTGTTGCTGTTGTCGTTATTGAGTGCCATGGTGTTGATTCTACTCATAGCAACTCCATGTGACAGTAGAGCTGACTCATAGTTTTCTTGACTATAATCTCTATAGAAGCAGATGGTCAGGGCTTTTTCTCATGGGGACACTGGGTGGGTTTGAACTGTTTATCTTATGGTTAGCAGCAGAGCATTTTGCCACCAAAGCCCCTTTCTGGAGGAATAGTTCTTGGGCATCTTAGGTGGCCTAGTGGAGAAGAGGTTGCATTGCCAACCCAAAGGCAAGTAGTTCAAATTGACCAGTTGCTCAATGGGAGAAAGATGTCCTCCGAGTAACTTATAGCCGCTGAAAACCTGGAGGATAAGCTAGGAGTTGGTTCCTCCTGTACAGCTTACACACACACACACACACTGCATCTTCTGCCTTTTTTCTCTTCCCACATACTTGGGGCACATGGCCAAGATGCACCTGTCCTTGGACATCTTGCTCAGAAGGGTGGAGAGACAACACAGGAGAGGAATACCCTACATAAGATGGATTAATACAGTAACTGAGGTAGGAGTGTCGGAATTAGTGAGACTGGCTTAGGGCAGAGCAGGATTCAGGGCTGTTGTACATAGGATCGCTGTGAATCTCAGGCACATAACAACAACATAGCTCCCTAAGGGCTGAACTTGACACCTCCAGTAAATCTATGCTCAGACAATCCAAGATGTACAATGATGCTCTGGATTGTGTGGTTCCACTCTGACCTTAAAATAAGAGAAGATAGCATAGGTCATGGGTGGGGGCCTCTTACCACACTATGTGCTGCTGGTCACCGAACAGAGGCCCCAACAGGATTCTGACCATATGCACACACATTTTACAATGGGACACTGCCATTGCATACCCTTAATACATATTTCCATGTCCTTTACTTATGCGTCTTGGCCAGAGAGTCATTTTATCTGCCTCCTGAAGAAGATCAGCACCTGAAAGTTACTATGACCCCTTTCTGCTGTTTTCAACTAGTCAAACACCTGAGTAGAGAAGAATAAACAAGAGTCGAGTCCTAGACCATGGAAGACTGAGGCGTCCATGGTAGTTCTGTGAGGTAGCAGAATCAAAAGTTGGAATTTCTGGAAAGAATAAAAATTATTGTATAGAGTTTTCTTTTGGTTTTAACTAAAACCTTAAAAGCAAAACTATGGAACTTAACTACTAAATTCTTTGCTGGGTTTGTGGTTGTTTTTTTTTTTTTTCATTTGCATTTTCTTCTATAAAGTCACGTTTGGATTTGTATCTGCTTTAGGTGGTTATGGGAACTGGCATTTCAGCTGGGTTTAACTTGAAAGACTCCTACAATGTGGATGTCGTTGGAACCCTTCCTCTGGGGTAGGAAATTGCTTTGAAGTGCAGTGTGGCTAAACAATCAGTGGATATTCATGAAATAATACTATTGTGATGAAAATACTGCCTCTTTGTTTCTGTGTACTAAATAGCTGACAGGGGTGTGTGTGTGTGTGTGTGTGTATTTTTTTTTATTATTTTGTTTCCTACTGTTTGATACTTAACACTTGTTACAAGCTCTCCTGGAATTATGAACATGAGTTCTGTTGTCATATAAACCTGAATTCTAACCTACCATTTATATCTATATGACCTTGGGAAATGCCTTATCTTCGCAAAGAATTAAGTAGTGCCTATCTCAACAGCAGGTTTCTGGAGCTACAAGCAGGCCAAGCAGTTAGTGTAGTACTTAATATATAACAGAGTAAGCATTTAACACATGTTCACTGACTGCTTTCCATGTCTGGTTGTTTAATCTTTCAAACCCTGTATTATTTTATTTCACTGATTTTCTTTTTTCTAACTTTACTCTTTGTATTTTATTATTTTCATTGAAGGGAGAAGAGTGGCTACTATCTTGCCCACCTTCTCTGACACTCTGGCATTCTCTCTGCATCTGTGTCTTTTTCTGTCTGGCTTACTGTGTCTCTCTGACTTTCTCTCGTCACGTTCTTTTCTCTTTCCAAAAGCATGTCTTATACTGCAGAGTTGGACATTGGTGGAACTCAGCATATTCAACCAGGCTTATCCTCCAATATCATCTGAGAGTCTTCTGGTCAGCAAAGAGAGCAAGCATTGCTCTTTATGCCACACTTCACCTCATGGAGGAAGCGATGCACCTACACTCAAACTTCAAAACAATAAATTGGTATCATTAATATGTTGGTGTGTTATTTATAATGATTCAGTATAAAGCACATTGCTTTTCTATTTGGGTTTATAGTTTGTATAATACTTTACATCCTCTATCTCAGTTGCTACATACAAAAACCCAGTTGACAACATATGGATTGGTATCACCATTTTAGGAAGTTCTGGTGGCTTTGTAGTAAGGAGTTGCTCTAAAAACTCAAAGGTACATGGTTCGACTCCACCAGCTTCTCAGAGGAAGAAAGGTAGCACTCTCCTCTTGTGCAATTTACTGCCTCAGAAAACCTGCTGGAGGGTCAGCTATGAGGTTGGTTCCAAGTCTACAGTATATAATAAAACCATTACCATTTTACAGACAAGAAACCTCATCTATGCTTATTTACTCTGCATGTGTTTTTTGAATGTTACTAGGAGCTAGTAGCATAGCCATTAAAATAAAGACAGGCCAAAAAGTCTCTACCTTCATGGAACTTATATTCTACTTGGGGAAACAGACTATAAACAAATAGTGAGAGATACTATGAAGAGAACTGAAACCAGGTAAGGAATAGAAGGGCCTGGGTTTGCTATTTAGGCAGGGTATTGGGAAAGGTGATATTTGTGAAACACAGATGAGGTTTAGTGACTCACTGGTGAGTCCCCACTGGGGCCTGGGTATCGGAACACAGGCTCCTGACACCCAGCCCTGTGCTCTTTCCATTACCTCACCCCCAGGGCCCTCACATAATGTGTGATAAAGTCTTTGATTGGATCTAGTAGATAATACTATCATGTTACTAATAAAAATAATTTTTATTAAATGGGAAATTCTTAGATTATTCTTTAAAAAAAAAGAGACTAATACATTAAATCCACATAGCACCTATTTTCTACCTAAGACCTTCCTTTTATGTTACACCCAAAGGTATTGCTTTTCCCCATAAGGGAGAGAGAATTTCAAAGAAGAAAATTTTCATTTGACAGCCCAGAAACCTTACCTTTTTAAAACTTTGCCTAAAGCCAAGGAGGAAGCAAGTAATACCATACCTATCTGCTTGTCTACATATAATCACAGGGTTTGAATCATCTGTGAATCTTGTTCCTGCATAACAAGCCTCCGGGAGATAGTGTCTTCATACAACCACCATGACTGTGCTCAAAATTCTTCAGTCTGGGCTGGGCTATGTGGGTGGTTCTTGTGCTGGCCTTACCCAGGGATCTCATTCACCTGCAGACGTCTGAAGGAACAGTGAATGCTGAAGGATTTCTGACACCTCTACTGGAGTGTCTGAAACAGCTGAGGGCTGTCACCTTCTTTTATGTCGTTGTTGCTGTTGATTGCCATCGAGTCAGTGACGACTCATAGCGACCCTACGAACAAAAGACCGGAAGTCTTTCTAGAACTATTGTCATTTCTGCAACTTCCTAGCGTTTCCATAGGCCTGTGGTTTAGAAGTGGATGCCACTCCTGCTGTTTCTCTTATGTAGTGTCTTCAGTTATAGGCAGACCTCTTTACATAGTAGCTCAGAGCAACTTAGAAAGAAAAGCAGAAGCTATGAGGTTCCGTCTCTTAAACAAGCAAACAAAAATAACAAAACCTTTTCGTTTGCAAATGTAACGTTCCACCAGAGGTTCTTAAAGCCACTGCCCACTGGTAATTTCTGGCTGACTGATCCTCCACTGACTTTCCAAGACTGTAAATCTTTACAGTAAGAAACCTCCCACCTTTCTTCCCGGGAGTGGCTGGTAAATGTGTACTGCCAACCTTTCAGGCCTGTTAGCAGCACAGCGTGTTATGCACTGGCCTGCCAGAGCTCCAGCCCTCTTAAGCCACTCATAGAGTGTCACTTCTGCCACCATTCTGTTGGGCAAAGCAAGACCAGACCAGATTCTGTGGAGAAGTAGAGGCAGCAGAATGCACTCACAACAATTGGGGGAACTGTTGGAAATCAGATTTGCAAGCGAACTAACATACCTAGCTACATACACAAATGTGCCAAAAATGGTAACTTGGAATCTCTCATTGCAGTATTGTTTATGGTTAGTAGTATTTGTTCATTATTTAATTAACCAAGTAATTATTCTTTCTTAGTAGTAGTAATAATAAGGGAGCTCTGGCAGCCTAGTGATAAGAAGCTGTGCAGCAATCCCAAAGACATGCAGTTCGAGGCCACCAGCTGTTCTGTGGCAATCTCCTCCTGTGCAATTAATTGCCTCTGAAAACCCACTATGTTTTCATAGAGTGTCAGCTATGCGTCGGTTCCGACTCTACGGTACACAACAACAGTAACGATAATATTTTACTCAGTGCCCTGAACTGAGGCAAGGAGCCTTGCAACCTTCTACTGCCCGTTCCCATATAACATTCTAGAGAACTTCTGTGTTGTTCCTTTAGGAGAGAGTCCCAAAGAATAAGACTAAAAGCCAAGTTTCCCATTCTGAGGTGCCAGGAATAGCACTATTGGTCCCTTCCAAATTCAGAAAACCCCCAGGTGAGATTCAAGGATTCTGCTGTTCTTTTCTTTGTTGTGTTGTCAGTTGCCTTCCAGTGGACTGGTGTGAAAGGAGAATAACACAGGAACATATAACAGACTTAGACTCCTTCTCTCAAACAAGAGAGAAGGGAGTACTGGTTCTCTTTCAAAAACCTAGCACCTTCTTCGCCCTAAGTCTTTGGTTCGAATGTCTTGAGGCATCTGAGCACTCCGCTGACCCTCTCTCCTCTGTGGTTCTGGTTCTTAATTACACCTGCTATACAGAGTGCCATGGGGTGTGAGGTTACTTCTTGTGTAAATAAAGCAGTATCTGATCTCTGCTGATTACATATTGCAGGTAGAGGGATGGTGCTCTAGGGTTAGATCTGGAGAGAAACTGCAGCAAGGTTTCCCTTTCTGTAAAGGCTGAGCTAACATGAATCTCAGCGTTGACCATCTGATTTGCAGAAAACATCCCCCTACAGCACTTCCCTCTACTTGCATGGTTAGGGGTTTCCTAGGAGTTACAGCACTCAAATAAAAGCCAGTTTGATCTTTCAGGCTACTGCCTCCAGCCAATCCAGACACGAGCCTGTTCCACCTCGTGTATGTGGATGCCATTGCCATAGCCATCGTTGGATTTTCAGTGACCATCTCAATGGCCAAGACCTTGGCAAATAAGCATGGATATCAGGTTGATGGCAATCAGGTACAATCCTCTGTTTCCTTCAGCTGTTTCATAGTGTTGCAGTCATTGTGTATGTAGAAAGGAGACAAACCAGCAATGTCAGTCTTGATAGCAAACATTTTACTTGGATAATGAATGTATTTGAAGCATATATTTATTCTACATTGTAATTTTTCATTATTCGTGTGTGTCAGATTATCAAGGTCTTGAGATACAGAGCCTCTCTGTCCCTCCTTAGCAGAGCGCCTGCTGGGGAAGTGAAATCTAAGTCTGAGGCTTATAGCTTGCATTTTCCTTTAGGTGGTATCTTTGTTTTTAAAGAATGAGGCTTGTTTACAGAACCATTCCTTCCCTCAGCAGGGAGCTTTTCTTTGTTCACTGCACTTTGAGTACATAATTTATTTCTGGAAAACTCTTGGCCATTGCCATCTTTACTGCTACAGAACACAACAGATGTTGTAAGTTTGGAATGACAATGTCCATTTTCACACCCTGGGTATTTGTAGAATAGGTACCACACCCATACAAAATAATAGTGATCAATTTAGGAAAACCCTGAGAGGTGGCATGACTGTAAAACAGACTGGTCCCATGAAGACACTGGCATGCACTTATTGATGAGCATTTAAAATAAGTTGGTAGTATTAGATATGAATAATTGTCTTTTTAATTTTTAAAAATAAGTTGCTCTTAAACAACAAAAATATTTTGTTCCTTTTTCTGACATTTTCTTAACAATAATGACATCATTTGTGAGGTAGAAATTGTGTTTGAGGAGAATGTTGGGTTGCGGGAAACATGGGATTTATCTCCAATACAGTGAAAATGCAAAGTATTTTCCCATCTTATTTTGAACTTCTGCTAAACAAATTCTTAAAACAGAAAAGAGGATGAGGAGACACCCTGTACTACTAAAACTGTGTATTAAATGGACCATCATGCTTTTGTTCTCAAAGAACAACCTGTCCCTTTTGTTTTTGTTTCCACATGAAAAAGGAGCTGATTGCCCTGGGGCTGTGTAATTCCATTGGCTCACTCTTCCAGACCTTTTCAATTTCATGTTCCTTATCACGAAGCCTTGTTCAGGAGGGAACTGGAGGGAAGACACAGGTGTGTATAAAAACTGGCCTCTGAAGCCAGTCATCTGTGTGGCCATTACATTTTAATCCTTTGATTCTATTCTGAACCCATTCAAAGCTACTCTGCCTGCAGATTCATGCTCCAATGAGCTGTGTAGTGAATCAGAGGAAGGCCTGATGGATGAAGCGAATTACAAGGGACTGGATATATAGGAAAGAGGTATATTCTTGTTAAGATAGAAAGTTTTACAACAAATCCTGTTACTTGTAAACCTCAATGTTCAGACTTTGGATGTTGTCCTGAAACCCTGAGACTCAGTATGGGCATGTTGCCAGCTCCCCAACATAGCACAGTCCAGTGGAACTTTCTGTAATGATGGCAGTGGTCACTATCTGTGCCATCCAATATGGCAGCCATCAGCCACATGTGACTAACCTTTAAAATCAATTAAATACAACCCCTCAGTCACACTAGCCACATTTCAAATACTCAAGAGTCATATGTGGATAGCGACTACTGTTATTGGACAGCAAACACTGATCTGAACTCTTCTAGCCTCTCAGGTCTGCACCAGACATCTTCTTGTCCCAAGTCTAATGGTGTTTCAGTCAGTAGATTTAAACATTTCCATTTCTGCTTAAAAGCTGTAAGAGGAACCAAAATTCTAGAGAGGGAGTGGAAGGAGTTAAAGGATTATGTTGTGATCACTGAATTTTCTTGGTCTTCCACAATGATCATCAAAAGAGTGAGACTTCCTTAAACCCCACCTCTTACTCAAATTCCCTAAAAAGCCCCTTTGATGTGTCTTCTCTCATTCAGCTTGCAGGTTGCTTGGCCTCACTGATGATTCTACTGGTCATATTAGCCACCGGATTCCTCTTTGAATCATTGCCCCAGGTGTGTAGCATAGACTTGGTGAGAAGTTTTTCCACGTGCAGAGATTCTGATATTGTGTTTATGTTTTGCGGCCGTCATAGGAGATTTTTACTGTAATCCTAGCAATGTAGAGGAAGGAAAAGCTTTAGGGATTGAGCCAGGATCTGTCTTCACATCCTGCCATCAGCTCCCATAGGACTTTGAGAGAGTAATTCCAACTCCTTTGTGCCTCAGTTTCCTTATTTGCAAAATAGAATTTTGGACTGTCTGGCCTCAGAGATCCTTTCTGTCATTGCCCTTCTATAACCTCATACTTTCATATCTGAGATTATTTACAAGCATAAATATTTCTTTGCTGCCATGTTTAACATGGAAATGGTTGAGTAAAGCAAATCATAACATACAATGAACCATAAAAAAATAATTAAGTGCCGAGCTTAATTCTGAGACCTTTGACCACAGTACAAGCCTGCTATTGGAATATAAACCCAGTGGTTTTAAGGCCTATTTTAGGTAACTAAGTCCCAAAAATTTGGTGCTCATGACTCCCAAGTGTAGCACATAGAGGGGATGGAGAGGACATGGGGAGGGCAGGAAGTGGACACTGAGGAAACAGCAAACGGGGCCCCGCAGACACATGAAGAGACGCATGCGTAGATGTGCTGTGTTTCAGGCTGTGCTCTCGGCCATTGTGATCGTCAACCTGAAAGGAATGTTTATGCAATTCTCAGATCTCCCCTTTTTCTGGAGAACCAGCAAAATAGAGCTGGTAAGTAATGAAGGTGACTGTCAGGCAAAGTAAAAAGTAAATTTGGTTGTGTGTATGTACCATGTCCATGTTTCTAATGTAATGCCTTCTGTCTCTTGTTTAGACCATCTGGCTTACCACTTTTGTTTCCTCTCTGTTTCTGGGATTGGACTATGGTTTGATTACTGCTGTCATCATTGCTCTTTTGACTGTAATTTACAGAACACAGAGGTGAGTGAACCAACTGGGGAGGGAGTGGCGATCCCCACTGAGAGTAGAGCCCTGACTTTAAGTAGAGAATGAAGCTTAAGTTGAGACATGTTGATCCCTTCAGCATGAGAGGAAACTGGGATTCATGCATTCTTTTGACGAAGTCAGACAGAAAGCCAAATGGAAACTTCCGTATCATTTTGCCAAGTGGCTTGCAATGTCACAGTAAATATCTGTGTCAGTGATTTTTATAAAAAATTCCACTTTCCATCACTTTCATGCTATTTTGAGCCCATGAGTACACTGATTTATCTATTTCTTGTGAAGGAACGATACATTCTTGCAGTTTGCTTTGATGCAAGATACTGAGACAGATTTAAATGGCATAAGGCAGACTCTGTCAGTAAGTTATTATATGTAGCTCTTCTTTGCTGCCCTGTTTTACCTTGCCCATTACTACAGATCAATTCTTCTCCCTAGTAGCAAGTTGAATCCACTGTAAAACATAAAATAACACTAAAAAAAGTAATGTTATAATAAGCAAATAAGTCACTATGAAGAAGAAAGGGGGCTCTGGTTGCCTGTTTTTATGAGTCATCAATCATGGCTAACCCTCCAGCAGATTTTTCTGAGACAGTTGATCACATGGGGTGAGATTACTGATCTTTCTCCTATAAAGCAGCTAGTGGATTTGAGCCAGGTACCTTTCAGTTTCGTTGTTGTTATGTGTTGTTGGGTCAGAACTAACCCGTAGTTGACCCTCTCGTGCATTTTTAGGGGCAGTTAATCTCATGGGAGGAGACTGCCCATCCTTCTCCCATGGAGCAGCTGGTGGATTTGAACCATGTACCTTCAGGATTACAAAGCAGCTTTTTACCACTAGGCCACTAGTGTTGTCCTGGTGGCCTGGTCAGTAGATGTATGTTGCCAACTCATAGGCAGGCAGTTCAGATCCACCAGATGCTTTTTGGGAGGAAAATGGGCACCATTCATAGCATATTTAATATTTTCCACCATCACCACAATTTCAAGACATCAGTTCTTCAGTCTTCTTTCTTCATTGTCCACCATTCAAGGGCATATGAAACAATTGAAAATACCATGACTTCACTCAGACCTGACAAAAAAATTATGTTTATCTATTCAAAGTCAACTTAAGAAGACATCTTTGTTAACACAAATGAGAGTTTGTCTCACATCCTTGCTCCACTCTCTCCTTTCATCCATGAACCAGTGATTCTTGTTAGAAATAAAATCATCCTTCCCCAGGAGAGTGAGAATGGTCAAATAACTATAAGCATGCTGTCAGCGCTGTTGAGTTGGGCATGTGGATGGTTTAATGGGCACGTGTTTTTCCGAATGTGTTCTCTAGAATATACAGCAGCAACATAAGAAAGCAGTCTCCTCTTACACATTAGAGTCAGAGCAGAAAAGCAATTCTATCTACTGAGTGGCATGAGAAACACTTGTGTTACATGTGTCTATGGCAAATTCCACACAATTCATGTAGACTCCATCTTTAAATGCTTCAGTCTTTTATCCTGGAAAATTGATTATGTGGTATGTACATGTGGTATACAGTCTCTGTGTGCATGTGTGTCTGTAGATGTGTGTGTGGCATAGGTTGTGTGTGGCAGTCCTGGTAGAGATTAGTTTTAGAATGGCACTGGGAATATGGTATGCATGGAGCCCTTTAAGGCACCTGTAAGAACCAGGCATTCTTCAGTTCCCTAGCAAGTCCATGAATGTGTGCAAACATAAAGTCTTGTGTTTAAATTGCATATGGTGCTTCAACACAATTGTGTTTTAATACACTCACTCTCTGTCTCCAGTCCTAGCTACAAAGTCCTTGGACAGCTTCCTGAAACAGATGTATATATTGATATAGACGCATATGAGGAGGTAGGACTGTTGCTGATGTTTTTAAATGTTGTAAAAAGGGTTAATGTGATTGGCTAGATACTATTTTTATTCAGGACAGAAAATTATGATAGATGTGGTCAGTATAGAGGTCAAATGAAAAGCCTGAATTTTAATGTGCTTTCCAGATACAGTTGTATAATTTATAATGTTGTTGTTAATACAATGCTGTCAAGTCAGCTATAACTCAAAATTATATAATTTACAACTAGATATTAATTACTCAGCTTACTTAGAGGGGTTTTCCCTTCTTATGGGGATAAATATCTATCCTTGCAATTAAACTTTTCATTTATAAAATATTAACTTGTTTGAGAGGATGGTTGGTTTGTGCATTATTTTCTTCCAATTAACTTTAAAGCAAAGGTAAAATATTAATTCCTAACTATGTAAGATATTGTAAGTGGACCATGGTATTTTCTCACTTACTTCTTAGTATTTAAAATTATAGGTTAAAATGCCCTATGTTTTCTTTTGTGGCATCTCAGAGACCTTTGTGCTACCTTCTTTTTTTTAATTTTTTTTTTTTTTTTACCTTTTTAAGCTAGTTGTGTCTATTTTGTTTTGCATCTTACTTGACAAGGAATTCTCATACTATAATCTATTAGAAAGTGAGGCTAGCGTTGGGATTTCTATTTTGTTCTTATTTCAAAGAATTATTTGCTGGATTACTTGTTTTAAAATGACACCCTAGTATTTCACAAGCTTTCTTGAGAAATTCTGTGCTATTTCATTTGTGTCTTCCTACATCCCCTCATTTTACACCAAAGCAAACCTCTGTTCATTTATTCAACCTACTTCTCAGTCTGGCTAGCAGCCTCCTCTCTTCTCTCCTAACCATCTTCCTTTTACTTTGACTATTTTCTAGTTCTTTCTTCTTTGTGTTTTATAGTAATTAGGAGATGAAGAAAGGCTTCTTAAGAAATGAGATCTGTTTGTGTTTTTAGCTACTTTCTTCTCAGTGCTCCTAAGAGTGTAATTAGGTGGGATGGTGAGACACAGATAGATGTTGCTTTTCAAAGCCAGCGAGTAGGGTAATTGCTGTTTTGATTTTGAAATGTTTCCATATGTTAGAAGTCATGATTTTTTTTCTCCTCAGGTGAAAGAAATTCCTGGAATTAAAATCTTCCAAATAAATGCCCCAATTTATTATGCAAACAGTGACTTGTATAGCAATGCACTGAAAAGAAAGGTAAGTCATAGAAATTACTTTGGTTCATTCTAAGGAGACTTGAGGGGCGTGAGCAATATAATTGTCTCAGAGTCTTAGACTACTACTGATTCTCTTATAATGTGTATTTATGCTATTATTTTTCAAATATTTTAA